CGGACCTCCGCCTGACCTTTTATCCATTTGCCGGACACCTCCCTCAATCTGCCCTCCCTCCACCCTACCTCTTCCCTCCACTTCCGCCCGACCCCTCCTCCCTCCTCTTCTCCCTCAAAGCTCTTCCCTCCCTCCGCTCGACCTTCTCCCTCCCTCCCTCCCTCCCTCCCTCCCTCTCTCCTCATCCCCCCCTTTCTTCCTTCCTTCGCCTTACCTTCCGCCTGAATATCCTAACTTCCGGTCTTCCCCCGGACTTTCCGTCCCTTTTACCTCACCTTTGTTCTCCCTCCTTCCGCCCTCCTTCCTCCCTTCTTTCTCCCTCCACCTGATCTCCTCTCTCCGCCATTCTCCCTCGTCCCTCCCTTCGCCTTTGCTCCTCCATCCTCCCTCCTTCTGTCCGCCTGTCCTCCTGCCTCCCCTTCCCCCAGCCGATCTCTTCCTGAACGCCTCCCTCTTCCTTACTCCCTCCATCGGATGTCCTCGCTCCCTCCTTCCTCCCTCCACCAGACCTCCCTCTCTTCTTTGTGCCCGACCAAGGAAGTGCATTTGATTATTTTTTTCTTTTCTGGTCGACCTAAACACTGGGGGGGGAGAGAGAGAGAGAGAGAGAGCTGTCTCTTATACACATCTAGATGTGTATAAGAGACAGCTTCTCTCCTCCCCTCCCAGTTTTCAGGGTGGCACTGAAAATTAGGTTTTCCTGTAATGTGATGATGGAGGAAACAAAGCGCCTCCCGGAGGAACTCTCTCTACCACCTTCCCTCGAATAGAAAACATGCCCACTAGAACGCGTGTCGGGCTTCAATATTATCGACTTATCTACAGCTATGATGGTCCTGCCTTCAAATCAGAGAAGAAACTCATTCAAGGTTCTCCCACCAAGTGGATTGACAGACTAATTAAGTGACAGTGGAAGTGACAGAAAAATAAAAAAATAAAAAGATCTTCTGTATGATTCCTTTTCCCTGTTATCTTGTGTGAAACTTCCTTTCTGTTTCCTTCTCTTCTGTTTTCTTCCCTAGCTCTCGTCTTCCCTGAGTGCCACCTTCTTCCCTACCTCTGTTCTTCGCTCTCCCTCTCTCTCTACCCATGCATGCATGTCACAATCATTTTGAAGAAGAGGTCGATGATCACGACGAGAATGACGATTGCGGTGACGATCGTGAAAAGCGCTGTCGTCTTGCTCGCCGAATAGGACGTAAGGTCATCACATCTGTACTTTCGGGCAACTTTCAGCATAGAAGTACAACGATAATGACCGGACATTCTATTCCACGGGTGGGTGAATGCGGTAGTGTGATGCTGGTGCTGTTGTTGATGATGCCCCTGTATGGTGATTGCGATGATCGTAATGATTATGGTTATGATAACGATAAGGGTAAGGGTGATGAGGGTAAGTATAAGGATTAGGATGAGGGTGAGGAGCAGGAGGAGGACGAGGAGGAGGAGGAGGAGGATAACAAGGGTGAATGCTGATGGTCCCAGTTGTGATGGTGATGATGATGATGATGACAGTAATTGTCGATGATAGCCTTGGATTTTGATATTGGAGCAATGCGATGATGAGCCGTATCGAGCCGGTACTGTCTCTCCCCGAACACAACGCACCCTGATTACGAATGCATACAAGCGATCTTTCCAGTCCGGTACAGTAAGAAATGAGGGTGCGTTGTGTTGGAAGGAAGACGGTAGTGGGATTGGGCCCCGGGGAGTCTGAAAACGAATGTATTCAAGCTATCTTTCCAGTCCGGTACAGTAAAAAATGAGGGTGCGTTGTGTTCGAAGGAAGACGGTAAGGGAGACTGAAACAGTAATCCTGACTCTCTGTTTTTCTTGTTTCTTCTCTATTTTTGCTTGTTTCTTTGCTTGTTTCTTTTTCTCCCTGTCTCTCTCTCTCTCTCTCAGAGTGACAGAGTGACAGAGGTCTCGACACTCCTAACGTCGCAGGCAGATAACTTTTTTTTTTTGGGGGGGGGACAACCAGAAATTTCAGAGGAAGCAGAAACCCGAACGAAACCTGGTGGAAATATTGACACAGTTCCTCAAGAATGAAAGGAAATGAAATAGAGGGTAAACAAATTACTCTTCTTCTAAACAAGAATGAAAACAGGGCGAGGGTGAAAGGAGGACGGCGCAATAAATTAAGAATTTGATGAAGAGCGTCACCCCTCCCCCCCCCCCCCCCCCCCCCCCCCCCCCCCCCCCCCCCCCCCCCCCCCCTCCCCCTCTCCCCCTTTTCGCTTCTTCTTTTTCAAAGGGGGTTCACCCTGAACTATGTGTTCATCTATTTCCGTCAGGATTGCAACTCGTACTATTCTGCTTACGAATAGTACCATGCGTATATATCACCAACGACCTGGGCTGGAGGTGGAAGGATCCCAACCTGAATCTCGGGACCAGAAAAAGGAAAAAAAAGCAATTCCTTAAATTTGATGACATCAGCAAATCACCCATTATTAGTACACATCACCATGTCGTGGCCCGGCCAACCGGGAAAACATCACCGAACGCAGGCAGAACAAGATTATAGGTAGGAGAGAGAGAGAGAGAGAGAGAGAGAGAGAGAGAGAGTCTGCCACGTGGACGACACGTGACATGGTCCTTGATATGTTAACACGGTCCACATATCTGCCACGTGGGCTTGGGTCACGTGGCACATATCATGCATAGTTCCGCACTTGCCTCATGGTACTGTGAACGAGTGTGTGTATGTGTGTGTGTGTGTGTGTGTGTGTGAGAGAGAGAGAGAGAGAGAGAGAGAGAGAGAGAGAGAGAGAGAGAGAGAGAGAGAGAGAATGTGTCACACGTTATACGATTGCTAGAATTGAGTGTGGATCTTATGATGGTCTTTTGGAAGAAAAGAGAATGCCAGCATGTGCTGTGTGTTCGGAAGCATTGGATCTCGGGGTTAACGATCTCGAATACATAACGTATGCTTTCTATAACATATGCTTTCTATTGAATTAGAACACCTGTGTTTAATTGGAAGTGAGCTACTATATGTTGTTTTTCCCCCCCTGCTTTTCTTAATCGACTTTGTTTTTTCTTTCGAAGAGTTGTGTGTATTTGGGGAAAATTTTCGTTCTCGTCCTTTTTTTTTTTTTTTTTTTTTAAAATTTTATTTTTTTTTTGGGCTGGTCATTGCATCTGAGAATAAGAAACGAACTAATTAATGGAAAAGGCAAACGTGCTGCATACAGTTCGTTGTTTTTAGACAGAGTGGAGGTGTATGATATTATTTTTCTTTCCCTTCACGACGAGCTCGATCGTGTATATAATGTTTATTTTATTGATGCCAGAAGCTGACGTCTTGTGGATTTGCTGCCTTGATTCTTGGTTTCGTTTGCTTGTTTGCATTTGGGTTCGGAATTGGAATTGGAACTGGAATTGTTTTTTTTTTTTTTTTAATGGGTCCATTTGGTATTTGGTACCTAGGTTATGGAATTTGTATTTGTTCATTGGGTCTTCTTCGATCTGAATTGGGTTTGGTATTGGTCCATTTCGAATTGGTTTCATTGGGTTGGGAATTGGTGCATCTGGTTGGGAATTGGGAAAGGGCTTGATTGGGTTGGGAATCTGTCCCGTCGGACTTGGAATCGGGTTTGGAACTGGGTTTGGGAAATGATGGTTGGTTGAGGCCTGGAAATGTGGCATTTGCAATTGGGACTGGGTTTGGAACTCGGTTTGGGAAATGATGGTTCCGTGAGGCCAGGTATTGGGTTTGGAAATGGTTTGTTGAGGCTTGGAATTGGCACACTTGGGACTGGAATTGATCGGCTTGGAATTGGGACTGGTCCATTTGTGTCTGTCCCATCGGACTTGGAATCGGGTTGGGAACTGGGTTTGAAAATGGTTCGCCGAAGCGTGGAAGTGCGTCGTTTGCAATTGGTTCACTGAGGGCTGGTATTGGGTTTGGAGTTGGTCTGGTGAGGCTTGGAATTGGGCTCAGAATTGGTACACTTGGGATTCGAATGGATCGGCTTGGAACTGGAACTTGTCCCATGGGACTTGGAATTGATCGGCTTGGAATTGCGTGTTCGGCAGGCGACCAAGCTATATTGTTTCGTGCACAAGCTCCCGGTCTGTGTGGAATGTGTCTGCTCGGATGAGCATCGACTTTGTGTGGTAGGTGATTCTCTCATAACATAAACACACCTGGCAAAATATAATAATGGATATGAACAGAACACTCTTCTTCTTCCTCTTTTTCTTCTTGTTGAATTGGCGACCTCTCCATGTTCCCCTTCCCGGCCCCCCCCCCCCCCCCCCCCCCCCCTGCACACACAAATCTGTCAAATGCATCCTGGGCAGACTGTCGGGGTTCAACCTCCTGATGAGTCGGTGAAACTCCGACGGAATAGTCTGGCATAGTCATGCTTTTCTGTGGAGTTGTGTATAGAGAACATGACACCACACACAAGTACATGCCATCTCCCTCCCCCCCCTCGCCAAGCCCTTAAAAAAAAATAAAAAATGGAGAGAAAATTTTAAAAACAAGTACTCTGCCGTTTGGGACAACCCAAACAGAATCACATTGAAGTTGTTATCGATTCAGATATTTTTAATATTTTATTTCTAATCTTATCATTTTCATTTTTTTTTCCTCCTTTCTTTTCAACCATCTGCAATTCATGAATTAGTATGAATACAAGTTAGCATCCAGTAAGAGCACTTCCACTGATAGAAGAACATATATGAGTCTCAAGAGTAAATAAAAGGTAAAACGTTGCTTGAGATGGCACAAACAAATTCTTCGCTTGGGTTTGTATCCGTGCTTGCTTCTAGCGAGCCTTGCGGCTAAATGGTATGCACACGTGGCTAGTGTGTGTGTGTGTGTGTGTGTGTGTGTGTGTGTGTGTGTGTGTGAGAGAGAGAGAGAGAGAGAGAGAGAGAGAGTTACTCTGGAGACATACTGGGCACGCGGATATCGTTTTCTGTTTTTTGTGTTGAATGAAGTTGCTGATGGTAGATCAACGGTTCAAGATTCGAGATTGTGTGATGAGCTGGCAAGGTAGCCCTGCACTGTGCAGGAATAGAGAAGATAGAAATGAAATAATTTAAGTATTACAAAAAAAGCAGAATGTAAAGGGGTTTTGGCAAACATTTTCTGATGCAACAGGCCTGGAGTTTGTGCATTTTTTTTTTCCAATTAATCAGAGTTATGTACCTGTCTTAGCTATTCCTGCCCACAAGCAGGTACAAGAATGCCTTAAACCACTAGTACCTCCGAGCCTGTTTTTGCCGACCCTGAATTTCACTGCACGCCGAGTTTGCCGAGCCTGGGTAGCACTCCGTTTTCTTTCTGGTACTCTCATGGAAAGAACAAAAGAAAAAAACAAAAAGAAAAGACAAAGAAAAGTTGCGGCCGTGAACTCAGAAAAAAAAAAAAAAAAAAACGAAAMAAAGCTTTGGCCGTGATTGCAGTTGTATACATTCCTGGAAGTGGTAGTGTGAGTGTGCCGTCAGTGAGGGCATCTCAGCCCCGTGGCCAGGTTGTCAGATTCGAAAAAGAGAATAGAAGGGGAAAAAAAGGGGCACACGGATCCGGCCGTGAAGATGGCTGGATACATTCCCCCTAGTACCAGTGTGATGAGTGTTACAATCCTCTGACAAAACACAGCTTGAGCACATCATGGACGACTTGAGCAATTCACGGATTCCCCCCTGCCTCATTGGCAGGGGACTTATAAGAAACACACGAGCAAGAAAAAAAAAGAAAACAGTAGCATCCAGAATGTGACCGCCTTACCGGTGAGGTGCATTCTGTGGAGGAAGACTCTGAGCACGGCCTCCAAGACTGCCCTCCCCGCCATCATTGCAGTAGAGATAGTATTTTTTCCTTTTTCTTTCACTCGCGGGCAATATAAAAATCTGATTTATGGGACAGTGCCGACCCTGTGTCCCACCCCCGGTAACTTCGGGAACTGGCAAAACATCGTAATTTCCCAACACTGGCAGAGGTACTAGTGGTTCAACATCTTCCAAAAAGAAGAAAGTGCATTTGCTTGCCACGTGGCAGCCCCCTGTAGAGGACAATCCGTGGCTGGAGGCGTGATGAAGACAAGGTGCTGAGTCAGCTGCCATCAGGGGTCTGCCACGTGTCAATTTGTTGTCTAACCTCCGCCCAACTGTTATGAACCTGGTTGTTTGTTGTCAGCAGACCAACGCTCGCTCACATAGACTTCTAGGTATGCCCATACATACATAGAAGGAAGGGGAGAGGATGGGAGTATCACACCGCACAAGGACAAATAGACAAGCAGTATCTTGTGAAGTTCCTGTACCAGCCTCACACTGAGGACCGCTGGTTCACGCGCAAGGAACTCCTCAAGATAGCAAAGTCTGCTGTCAAATATGAGGCAGCACAGAGGGGAGAGTTCCCTCGCCGCTCAACAAGTCATTGCAGACCTACCCTCCCCCGGAGCGAGGACCTCTGAGCTAGGAGTGCAGGTGTGCTGAGCGCCGACAACAGACTTTGCTGTCTTGAGGAGTTCCTTGCGTGTGAACCAGCGGTCCTCAGTGTGAGGCTGGTACAGGAACTTCATAAGATACTGCTTGTCTACGCTTGTGCCTGTCTCATCCTCAATCTTTTCCAGTTCATATCCCTTCCTAGGGATCAATGGACCAAATTGAGGGGGTCTGTCTGGGAATGCATCAGCTGAAGTAAAGGGCAACAGCTTAGATGCATGGAAGACAGGGTAGGTTTGTAGATGCAAGGGAACATCAACAACATAGGATGGTCCGAATGGTCCTAAGAAGTATTCCTCAGGACCGCAAGTCGAGAACACTTCTGATGTTAGAGTGTCATGATGCCCGTGGTCATTTTGGTGCCCTCAAATCATATGCGGCCCTGTCGCAGAGGTTCTTTTGGAAAGAGACAAGGAGTGACATGCTGCAGTATGTTGACACCTGTGAGTTGTGCCAAAGGAATAAGGTCGTACATAGACCTCCCCTTGGCCTACTCAAACCACTTGCCATCCCTGAGGCACCTGCACAATCAGTGTCTATTGATTTCACTGATCTGGGTAGGACCACCCCTCGTGGTATGTGTCAGGTTATGGTCTGTGTGGACAGGTTCTCCAAATACGCAGAGTTCATCCCTTTGCCAGGAGAAGCTAGAGTTCCTGCCGTGTAGGCAGCGTTTGCTGACAGGTACACTCACCATGGACCACCCACCTCTATTGCCAGTGATCGAGATCCGCGGTTTTGCAGCCATGAGTGGCAGTCCTACTGCAAGGACTACCTTCACTCTCGCTTGGACATGACATCTGGACGTCATCCTGAAGCCAATGGTCAGGCTGAAGTGATGAACCAGATTCTGTTCCAGCTGCTGCCTCCTGTGATCATCCCAGATCAGCAGGACTGGGATCTCCATCTGGGTCGTGCACAACTGGTGTACAATACTTTTGTACACTCCTCCACTGGTTTCACACCCTACAGGTTACACTGGGGTCATGAACCACATCAGCCTCTCGATGATATCATCGATAAGGCTACTCCTGTACTAACACCTGGAACTGCAGGGTTCACCAGGCGATATCGTGTGGACATTGAGCAGGCCCGTGCCAACCTGCTCAAAGCCCAAAAGGCTATGATTCAGCAGGCTAACATGCACCGCCGCCCTGCTATTATTCGCAGAGGTGACTGGGTCTGGGTTCTCAGTTCTAAGTTATCCTGGGAGGAGGACATATCACCTAATCTGTTGCCGAGATATATGATTCCATGGCAGGTTTTAGATACAGTGGGGGCTGATCCGTTCGGACCATCCTATGTTGTTGATGTTCCCATGCATCTACAAACCTACCCTGTCTTCCATGCATCTACTTTAGCTGATGCATTCCCAGACAGACCCCCTCAATTTGGTCCACCGATTCCTGGGAAGGGATATGAAGTGGAAAAGATTGAGGATGAGACAGGCACAGGCGTGCAGTATCTTGTGAAGTTCCAGTACCGGCCTCACACTGAGGACCGCTGGTTCACACGCAAGGAACTCCTCAAGACAGCGAAGTCTGCTGTCCTCAAATATGAGGCAGCACAGAGGGGAGAGTTCCCTCGGCGCTCAGCACGCCTGCACTCCTAGCTCGGAGGTCCTTGCTCCGGGGGAGGGTAGGTCTGCAATGACTTGCTGTTTTCTGCCGCCGGTGACCCGTCGACCCGAGGATGTAACATAGGCACAGGTTAGATTCCTAATTTTGTTGGCTGAGGGCTAACCGAGGTATCTGACTGTGAGGAAATTCGTGAGGGACATATCTGCAAATCTGGGAAAATTCTAGGCCCGCACTAACGGAATTCCCTACGGCTACCCTAACTGCGAATAGAAGGCCCGGGCTACCCCTAGGACAGACAGGCCCTAAAGGCCTAAGCTGATAGACGGTCCTATAGCCTATAGCCGGGTAGGGAGAGGCCCGAGTGGCCAAAATTGAAACGGTACTGGTCGGTCCTACCAGTCCGGTCTAGGTCGTGTCTAGGCTAGGGTAGAGTATAGATAGACTGTAGACATCGGTTCAGGGCTTTTGGCAGTTGGTACCGTGTATGTCGCTGCTGTGCAACGCATGAACTGGAAATGGTGACAACTTCAGCGTTGGAGAAGACGGACATAGTTGGACGTGCGGAGTGTCGGCCATAGCTGGGACAGACGCGGGACTCTGACAGCACGCGGGGCTGTTCAGAGGTCTGATCTATCTGGAGTCTGCTGGAGGCGAGAGAAGTTGGTGCCCTGCTGAACCCTCCTCAGGAGTAGGGTCTCAGGAGTTCCGCGCTGCAGCCATAGCTGCAGCGCCCTTCCTCAGAGCTCATCTTTGTCAGGAGAGGTGGCGCTGCTACAAACTTCCACTCTGGAAGTCCCCTGGCACTTCATCATCACACATTGTGGCGCTGGTCTTCGTCTTCATCTTCTGAGAGGCGGTTGGCCTCAGAGGCCTGTTTCAGGGTGGCGCTTCCCTCTGGAGGCAGTATTTGGGTGGCGCTTGATGTTTCAGGGACTCAGGGGTAGTTATAGTGGTTACTCAGGGTTGGGGAGTGAAGCGCTGCTCATTCCTGAGCAGCGAACCATGGTTCTGGGGTTATTCTGACATTTTGAGACTCTGAGTTTAATAAACAATGTGTATACTGTGTGTGGACTATCG